GGCAAGGGTCAGCAGGGCAAGGGCCCCACGTGCCACTTGCCATATAATTGCAGACGCTGGCGTTCATTCCTCTCCTTGCATTCTGCATTACCCTTTGTCCCAGTGTTTGCCTATTAGTTTTTTAGGTACTGATTTAAATCTATTTTTCCCAAGAGAACTCAAAGCTCTTTAAGACTGTCTTTTTCATATATTCCTCATTCTTAGCACAGTGTCTGGCACATAATAGGGTTTCACTAGAAATCAATGAATTCACGTATCCATTCATTCAGTGAATATTTTTGAATGCTGCCTCTGTGTCAGGCACTGTTCTAAGCTCCAGGGATACAACAGTAAACATAACAAAGTCCCTACTCTCACAGCACTTACACTTTAGGGTGAGAAATAGATATTGGCATACAAACAGATGTTAAATGAGCCATATGAAATTACCAATATTTGACCAGATGAGATCTAGAAAAATAGCAATTTCATATGGCCTGACCTAATACACAGCATGTCATGTGGAGATAATGAACATATCAGTGCAGTCATGGTGTTTGACAACATTCTCTGAGCCATGTTATGATTTGAAAGGTTCCAGCTCAAGCTTAGTCTACTTTCACATAATAAAATTGTCCAAAAAGCATCAGAAAAAAATAAAGCACCATTAGTCAGATGGAATATAATAGTTGCTCTCATGGCTATTGAAACAACAATCGTCGCATCCTGTTATGTGTGTGTTACTCTACAGAGTTGGCATGGCAGAGCCAGGCCTTTTTTCTGTACTTGGGGATCTCAGCATGTCCTCAGAGCCCTAGAGAACCAGCCTGTGCCAAGTATCTGTGTGGTCTAGGCTGGGTCTCTGGTCAACAGGATTCTCATTGAGCCACAGTGACTCTTCTCCCTCATGGATTCAGGCCCTTCACCATGGCTCTGGTAAGTAAAGCTGACATTCTGGGGAGAGTGATTTGGGGACTGGTAAGCCAAAGGAAATGAGACCACACAACGTGTTTCCCCACCTCCTTGCCCAGGCTGAGAAATGAATGCCAGTGTCTGCAATTATATGGCAAGTGGCACATGAGACCCTTCTCCCCGCTGACCCCTGCCCTGCTCAAAGACCATCTTGGGCCTTGATGTGTGTCCTCAGAGGGGCCATCAGATGATTTCCAAGTCCAGGACCCTGAGGGGACAACCTTCCCTCTTGCAGGCACATTTGGTGCATTATTTCTCACGGCATGTTCTTGTAATATTCGGCTTTGACAGCACAGTCACTGAGCGTGCAAAGGAAGGTGTCAAAAAAGTGCTAATTCTCCTTGTTCAGATCATTAATTTTCTCAAAGAAATATTAAATAAAATGACGTGTTTTTGTTTTTGGTTTTGTTTTGTTTTGTTTGTGAGACAGAGACTCACTCTGTCGCCCAGGCTAGAGTACAGTGGTGAAATCTCGGCTCACTGCTAGCTCCACCTCCTGAGTTCACGCCATTCTCCCGCCTCAGCCTCCCGAGTAGCTGGGACTACAGGTGCCCGCCACCACGCCCGGCGAATTTTTTGTATTTTTAGTAGAGACAGGGTTTCACCATGTTAACCAGGATGGTCTCGATCTCCTGACCTCATGATTCGCCCACCTCACCCTCCCAAAGTGCTGGGACTACAAGCGTGAGCCACCGCGCCCAGCCTAAAATGATGTTTTTAAAAAGCCCTCCTACACTGCTATTTCTAAAGTTTTATTTTAAATCTTGTGCCTTTAAATGGCTCTTTTTCCCTTCCACTTAGAATTATTTTTCCACTTTAAAGTTCATAGATCTTTTATAAAATATGTATGATAAATATTTTTGCATATTTAAAAAATTATATAGCAAACAGTGATGTTTGGGAGCTTTTGCTAGAATTATAAAGGATTTTTTTAAAGGAAGTCCAAAGCAAAGTCCAAAGCAGAGGAAAGCTGCTGCAGAAGGGAAAATGATGACTTTCTGCCCCTCTACGATCCTGGGGTTGATAGATGGCTTTTCATCTCTAGCTCACTGGAACTGACTGAAGGCAGAGGTCATATGTCTTACCTGGAACGTCTCTATAGTGGCTGGTACAGGGCTCTGTGCACAGGGTAGACTAGAATGGCATTTATAGAGAAATCATTTCAGCCGTCCCTTATTAAGCACAACCAATGTGCTACATCTCACCAGACCCTACATTGGGAGAATATCTTTCCATTTTACAAATAGGCAAACTGAGGCCCAGAGGGTTCACTAGGTGTCTAAGATTACACAGCTAGCAAGTGACAGAGTCAGGATCCAAACCCAGGTATCCACCTCTAAAGTCTATGCTCTCTCCACTCTACTACTAAGCTCCTGACATGGTCGAGTTCTCAAGAGAGGGTAGGTACATTCAAACTGTTGAGCAAAAGAATGCATTTGTCATTAGGAAGTGGTTGAGTTACTCAACTCAAATTAAAATCAGGGTCCATTGTGTATCTATTCTAGGCTTGTTCAGGTTCATTTTACCCCTTTCCCAAAAAGCCTTCCTGAGACCTCCATCCTTGGCCCCACATACCCTGACATCTGACATCAGGAGACCCTCATAGTAAACTTCACGATGGATGAGAACCGCTCTCCTGCAACACCACTTCCTACCCTTGTCCAAACAGACAACTCTTAGAGATCCACGAACATCTTTCAGCAGTCATATGACATTCTGTTCATTAAGATAAAAACTAAAGTGGCTCCAACCCCCAATTTATGGATTTCCCCAAGGTTTCCAGAGACTTGGAAACAGGTAATGCTATATTCTCCCAGGCACCTCAAACCCTAAATTCTTGCTTTCTCTGAACTCTCTCCACAATGCTTGGCTATGCTAATGAGTACTGTCATCATTCTCTCAAGTACCACAAAATTGAGTTATTACACATAATATGCATTTATTGATGATGTCCCAGTAGTGGAGAGGGATTACAGCACAGAAGAGAAAACATCTTTAAATTGACCATGTGACATCACTGCTCTTACAGTTCCTTGAACATCCTCATTGCAGGGTGTATCCTCCCTGGGACTCAGTCCCTGACCATTAAACTGGGGTTTGTTCTTCCTGCTGTAATCTTTTTACAAGCATCTGTTCTCCCCTCAAGTCTCCAGCCTTACTCCAGTCCTCCAAGCCTACGGGAGGAAAACTGAAAATTCCTATAAAGTTATTCTGCAGAGTGACTTAAGACCACTTTTTCTCATTTCCTACTTTGCACAGGCCTCTAATGCTGTCTAACTAAAAAGACTCACTCACTGGTTATCTTCAACCATCAACCATCTACCACTAAGATGATTTCAGGAGCTTTCCTGGAAAGCACGGGTGCTCCTGTCATCTCATTTTGTACATCACATCTTGCTCCTCATACGGACTCTTTTTTTGTACTACTAGTCTGATTTGGGATGATCGCATTCCAGGAGTCAGCTAGTAGCTGACTCCTTTCTCTCCTCTACTTTCTCTACTCCTTCCACATACTTGGTTGATGTTTTTCAGACTCCAGAAACCATGTTTGGAAATCCTTGAAGCCATGACTCTTTAGGGGCTGAGGGCTAGTCTGTCAATCAATGTTCTGGGCCTCTGGTTTGTTTTTCTCTGTCCTCAGCTACCCTGTGATACAAATGCCACATGGACATGAGCCTAAGTCACTTCTTTCCATCCAGAACGAGACTTTATTTGGTTGTAATTCACATACAAATATGCCATCCCCAGTACCTTAACTACTCTGTAAGGCGACTATACATTTAACCTTCTAAATAGTGATAATTTAAATGTGTACTACATATTAAACATTTTGTAAGTGCAAAGTACTATGTCTAACATATATCATCTAAGCTTTATCAAGCAATGTGTCATAGAAATTGTTAGCCCATTTTACAGGTGAAGAAACTGAGGCACCAAGAGTTTCATAGATTGTATGAAGTTACAGAGTTAAAAAGAAGGAAAAAGGATTGCAATTTGAGCCTTTTTGTTTCCGGAGTACAAATTCTAAGCATTCCATTTTTATCACCTGTCCCACAGGTGATATATAGATATCTGCTCCAATTCCCATGTGATGAAAGGCTGTCTTTACATGTAATCTAAGCAAGTGAGCCCCATGGCTATAGGTCAATAATGGACAAATTCACCAGTCCATTAAAGCCAAGTAAAGGGAAATAGAGGTTCCACAAAAGAGAGCACTTTTGTTTTTTTTTTTTTACTATAGCTAATTTTATCTTTGATTTAATTATTTACATTCCTGGAACAGCCTCTTATATTCACTTAATAAGCTAGCTTCATCAGAACATCTTTCATAACTTATTGCCTATTTATCCCTCCTTTGTTTCTCACTGAAAATTTCTTACAACATATCCTAGCGTGGAGATCATCAAATGAGTCAATTTTCCTAAAGTCCATCAAGCACTGGGATCATGTCTATGACAACTAGTTGTGGGAGTGGATGGTTGATTTTATGGTGCTTTTAAAGGATGATGTTTGGACTATGATTCAGAACGCTCTTTGTTGGTTATTTTACATACCTAGAATGTTTTAGGTGTGCTTACTTGGACAGCATGGTTCTTTTATGTGCCTCCTTTAAAAATGGTGCTCTGCTGGTATAAGGCCTGATGAGTCATCACTGCATGGTGCTGGAGAACCACACTTTCAGGAAAGCAAGCTGTTTGTGGGCTCCTGAAGGACCTCTTACACTTAGGCTTGCAGTTACCATGAGACTTCACAGAGGCCACTAAGAGAGCCCTTATTTTCTAAACACCTTTAAGGAAGGGGGTACAAGGATCTGAAAGAGACTACGAAACTCTTGGCAGCGTTCTCAGAGCTGTTCTAAATAATACCAAAACATTAAAAAAGAAGTTAAAGTGGAAAACTCAGTCAATCAGTCATCTAAATGTTTTGATTTTCAACATCTAGATACTTTCAACATTGGTCTCATGGGAACAAAGCCATAGTATTTTCTTGGCCAGTGTTCCAAATGTGGTGGAGGACCTGGATATTCTGGAGATGTTTTTGTCTTTCAGATGGTGAAAAGATTATCTTAAGCTGGGAATTAAGTGATGAAAGGGACCTTGGAAATTATCAACTCTAAATGCTTCTTTAGAGGTGAGTGCCAGTGAGGATATGACGTGGCCAGTATTAGTCACATTGCTAATTCCAGAGGCAGGAGTGAAACAAAGTTTTCCTGCTTCCAGTTGCATCTTCATACAGTTGTCATCCTGTATTTTCTTTTGTAAGAGGAAAGAAAAGTGGCAGCTGGAATATTCCACCTTTGACATTAGTTAGATTTTTCTGTTTCCAAATATAGACATGATTATGCCTGCATAGGTGAGATTTACAATACACGTTGGGCCATCATCATGATTGTCCAGTATGTAGGATGAATACATTGTATGTGCAAAACTCCAGACAAGACCCAAGAGAATGTGAAGAGCTGAAAGACACCACCCCACACTTTACCTGATGGTTGTGCCATTGGTAACAATCATTTGTGCAAACCTAGTACTTCAGAGAAAATAACACAGCCTAAAGAAAATCAGGCCTTGAGTCAAATGGATCTTGACTGTGTTCAGCCTTCCCTGAAAACCAACTTTTTCCTGAGAATGTGTATGTAAAGGAATTTTGAGAATATTTGAAGAATGCAAATAATTATATTTTCTTAGTGTAGTTAAGAAAAGGATGTGTGTGTGGGAGGACGAGTAGACATGCAGTGACTGCACTAACAAGTATGGTCCCCCCAGTGTATATTTAATAGGATAAGGACAGTTTTTTGAAGTTAATGGCATAGAGTTATGATTAAAGTATATGTGATATGAAGGATGTAGGAAAGTCCAGAGTTTGTGTGCAAGCTCATACAAAGAAGACAGGACTGATTTTATTAGTGTGGTCATTTTTGTTTTTAAGAAAGTCCTGAAGGATTCATAGTTTAGAAGATTTGCTTTCAAAGATGCCATAATCTTCTGAAATAATACTCTAAAAATCAATGTAAATGTAAATGTTCATTTCTAATATGAACAAAATTAATCAAACATTTGTTACTATTTCATAGATCCAGACTTTATTATATGCCCTTCATTTTAGGAAAATTGAAAGCAGTTAAGAACCTGCCCCCTGCTGTGCTGAGTTGGAGTTCTTGGTGCCTGGGTGCATCCCCAAGGCCACTGGTCTTCAGATCTTTCTTACTTGAGAAGAACGCCTCCACCTCCGGGCTCTCCCACCAGTGGTACTGCCACCACCACACACCAGCATAAAGCACAGATTGCTGCCCAGCTCCTTGGAGAGGGGCCAGTGCATTTGTCAGGAATTGAAAAGTTTTGGAGCCAGTTCGAGGACTTTCTGGTACACAAAGTGTTGGCTGGAAGCATGGTGAGTATTAAATGGGATGTTAATTTTCATGAATATTTTCCCCATGGTTGTAACTTGTGGTCATTGAGCAATTTAGCAATCACCATGTGGTCTGTTGGACACACAGCCTGGGTGAAGTTCAAGAAATTAGAAGCCAGTCAGTGGGGACAAGGCCAGAGCTCAAATTCATGTGTTTTCACTTTCTTTCTTTCTTTTTTTTTTCTCCTCCCACCTCAGGGGATGGTTGCTTCTTTATTACAACTTAGGTGCAACCATATGCCTGAGATCCTTTTGTACCACCCATATTGATGTTCCTTCACATTTTCACTCATTTCATTTTAGCTCATGTCTGTCAGACTTGTATTCTGGCTGTAAAATCCATGATTCGATGATTCTTTGCCAGTTCATTCTTTGCCTCATCATGTAGGATAGATTGCATCATTAATTCCAAGGACACTTATGTATGGTACAAGGCATACACGATTTCATACTTATCTTCAAAGTGATGGGGCTTTGTTGGAATTCTGGAAATTATAAGCCTGTAAGAGAAGAAATTTTGATACAAAGACTGGAAAGTCAGGGCCCTGTATTTGACATGAATACTATCTTACGTTTTTACAGTACCTTTCCTACATCATATGATTGCAATTAGCTTTCACAAACTTTGTGAGACGTCTAAGGTAGGAACTCTATCACAGTTCCTTCATTACTGATCCTATAGTTCTTAGAAGTGAAAGTACGTTGCCAACACAGGTAGGAGTGGAAGGCCTCCTGCTCCACCCACATTCTCCTTCCTCCTTATCAGCCCTCCCCCACCTCAATATCCAAGCTGTGGATAGAAATTTGTTATTGATAACAAAAATAGCAGAATCCTCCCATGGCTTATTTTTCTAGGTTTTTAATAAATTGTAGCAAGTCAAATTTTTATTCCCATTTATTAATATTCCTACATGCTTTCTTGAAGGGAAAGAGAGTGGATGGAAATATCATACATGCTCTAGGACAGCAGTCCCCAACTGTTTTGGCACCAGGGGCCAGTTTCATGGAAGACAATTTCTTCATGGACCAGAAATGGGGGATGGTGGGATGGTTTTGGAATGAAACTGTTCTGCCTCACATCATCAGGCATTAGTTAGATTCTCATAAGGATCACACAACCTAGATTCCTCACATGTGCAGTTCACAATAGGGTTCGTGCTCCTATGAGAATTTAATGCCACTGCTGATCTGACAGGTGGCAGAGTTCACAGTAACTCTGGCTCGTCTGCCACTCACCTTTGGCTGTGCGGCCCAGTTCCTAACAGACAATGGACAGGTACCAGTCTGCAACCTGGGGACTGGGGACCCCTGCTCTAGGAGTTATGTGTGACATACAGATGTCAGCATATCTCATTGGCACCACCTGAGGAATGGGTGTAGCATGCAAATTGATATTTGACGTATTGTTGATGAGAGTTTGCATACCCTGTACTGTGTTAGCCACTTCTGTCTACTGTCTTAGGAGGAGATATTTAATAGGGTCACTTTGATGATCTTCATTATTTAATTGCCACCCATGGTAGAACCCCAGAAATGAAACTTTTTGATGTTCTCTTTTCCAGGATAAAATTCTCTGACATCTGAAATTGCTTTCTGAGAATTAAATAGTAAATGAATCTGAGATGACTCTCTAAAAGTTCACAAATAAATTATATCGTTTATCTAGCCTATGAGTAATTACACATATAATCAATAATATATAGTAAAGCACATTAGATGTATTCCCAAATATATATATGCATATATGAGCAATCCACTTTTATACAATATTGTTGGAAAATCAATTGATCTGCATATGTGAAATTTTGGCTTCCTTACTTAAAAACTTACCTTTCAACTATTTTAACAATTTTGATGGACTTTCCTTTGAACTGTTTTACATACTTCTCTTTCAAGAAAGAAAGAGAATATGGAACTCATTTAGTCCTTTTTGGAAGGCTTGTGTTAATACTATAAACAGGATTTATTTGCTCTGTTCTCTGAGCAATGTCACCCCCAGGTATGGTGGCCTTGAAGATTCTTTGAGACATTCTGACCATTATATTTTTGTGGCTCTTTTCTTACTAGAATAACCAGTCTAGTGTTTAGAGGTTTTAGCCTGATGATCTCTAGCATTCTTGTAATTTGCTTCTTATCTGCATTGAGCTGCAGCTCACGACATAAAAGCATTAATATTGTGTGTAAAGTAAGAGTTAATAGGCTCTGAATGATTAGAGTACATATAAATTATGGGGACTTGATGTTGTGGAATAATAACCCTGAATTGCTGATTCTTGGGCCCCTTTTTTCCGCTTTCTCTTCGGTTTCCAGGTGGGATATAAAGAATAGAGTTTGCCTAATAAGTGAAATGTTACTGTCCATTAAAAAACAATGAGGTACATATGAATTCTTTAAATCTTACTGGGATTAGCAGTGTTTAATTTGGGATGACCAAGGGATAAGCAGGGAGAGCTTCTGGCTGTGCATAAGAGAGGAGTGTTTTTATTTGTGTTTGTCAAGGATGAACTTATGAGCAAACTACAAAAGGACATTGCCTCTTTAACGGAGGCTCTGGCTTGTGTTCCTGGGAGCTTCGCAGCGTTTGTTCGTAAAGCAGCATGAAAGAGTTGATTTTCATTTTATGTTGTGCTTGTGAGGCATTAGCATGATGTTCTAACACTTGTAAATGAATACAGCTCTCGCCTAATCTGTCATTTTAATGCCTTATAGATTTTATTTCACTCGATGTTGTACCAGATTCTCAATAATAATAATCAACTGCTTTGTTGTTCTCTTGCAGAAATTAAATTTCTGCAGTGAGTGTGCAACTAATAAAAGATGTTGCTTGAGGAAACAAAAAATAAATATGATGAATCATAAAAGTTGGGTGGGGGGGAGAGGGGAAGTTGCTCCTAGATGAAAGACAATTACTGAACCAGTGGTGAATGTGTCTGATTCTCATATTGTCAACAGCTTAATAACCCTCACAAAGTCTTTAGCCACAGTACTTATGTCTAAGCATTAACCTCATGGACTTGGCATTTCCCACAATTTCATTGAAAAGCATTAAAATAAAAAGGTGAGGTAGTAAAATCACTATTCTCTTTGCTTTGCACCCTAGATAAGTTTGCTCAGGGTTACCATTTTGCCACACATACCTTTTATCTTTTCCTTGTCATGAGCTATCCAGGAGAGCGCATCAAGGCAGCTGTGTGGGACTTGGAGTATTGGCAAAGACTGCTAAGTGGAAAATAAACAGTGTGTCTATCACCAAGCTACCAGAACACAGCACTCAGAGCAGTGAAATGACAGTCCATGGCAAGCAACTAATTGGTCACCAGCTTTGGAGGAAATACATTATTCCAGACCTCTGTCATTTACCGTGTTCTTTAAACTAGAGAAAAATCTGCCAGGTTGAAGTGTTGGCTGTAACCCCCAAAAGAAAGGAAATAGAGAGTTGAGACTGTGAGGCTGGGCAGGCACTTTGGAGACTGAGTAATTGAAGACATCCATTGCTAGAGAAAGAGTCAGTTTCCTGAGACATAATGAATTCACCCCATCACGCACAGGTATTGTGTGGGTCCAGCACCAGTTGTGTGATGAATGTTGAATTTCACATAGCTTCTGCCTGAGAATACAGGCTCAAGTGAATTCAGCGTGTGACCAAATTTTTATGAGAGCCGTCCCTTTTTTTTTTCACAGTTTGTCTCTCTAATTTATCATTTCTCTTGGAAAGGTTGATACATTGATGAGCTATGGAAAGCAAGAGGGAACATGCCCATCTACTAAGAGGAGAAGAGAGCCTAAAACACACATTCACTAAGGAAAAGAAAGCCAAATGTGAGATAACAGAACTCACAGTGCTAGACCTACAACTGTAGTATAATATTCAATTTAAAAATATTAAAAGTAAAGACCTAATGCATAATCAAATTGACTTAAGCATGTGAACCTCTATCCCAAACTGGGCATATCGTATGCAGAAGAGAAGGAATAAGAAGAAACTTCTCGCACAAATACGCATTTTATTTATGTATTTAAACGTGCAGCCACATAGACTCTCCCCATTCAGGTTAGCTTGGATGAATGAGGCCTTAGTGTGCACTGAGATTGTGAATTTAAAAAGCCAGAGGTCTCGATAGCAATAACTGGTTGTTTATCTTAATCCACAGAAGTATGTAGTCCAAAAATTATAAAATAGTTTAAAATCATGTAGGTTAATAGCTTTATAAATGTAAGCACTGTTTCTTTGATGGGCCTTAAAGGGCCCATAAACTCTTTGGAATTGTACCCTTTAATATGTATGGATATATATACATTTTAGAGATGAAGAAAATCAGTGGTTTTTCTCGGATTCTCTAACATGACCAAAAAGAAGCCGAAAACCTTTTAATTGTGTATACTGAAAGAAAAAGAGGAAGAAAAGAACAATAATAAATTTTAAGGAAACCTATGATCAATTGTTCATGAATGTCAGCTCTAAATAGGAAAAGATTTATTAAAACTAGTTTTTAAAAGTTGTTTGTTTTTATAACTTGCTCTTAATCAGAATGAGAATCATCTTAGAATTTCATATGGAATCCTTTTGCATCCATAGGACTTCATTTCCATTTTTAAAACAAATATATAACCTAAAAGATGCCCAGATCATATCTTTGTATTCCTAATCTATGTGTACTGTTGTGCTCGTATGTGCACGCACTCTCTCTCTCTGCCCACTTTTGCCTTTTCAGAAACAATAACACATGGTTTGCCAAAGAATCTGCATTGAATAATACTGGTGGTGACCACAAGAACATGTCTGTCTGACTGCAAGGAGCATGAGTGACCCAGGGTTTCAGTTGCTGCCTTGGAAATTCATCACAGTGCGAGTCTATGCTTCCCACGGGCTGCTCCCAGTCTGTGAATAAGCCTGGCATCTTTGTTGAGGCAGGCCTATTTCTGGAGATGCAGGATCCTCTGATGGGCGAATTTGGCTCTAGGACTGCTTGATGGCCTTGACAGACTTTCCTTAGAAATGTATGGCAATTTAGGATTCCTCCATCCTTCCACCTTTCTCTCCTTCACCTGGGGTCAGACTTGCATCATGGCCTGAAAGCTCCCCCAGCCTCTCCTGCCCTTCTCCTCATTTTCTTTCACAGGCATATCCTCTAATAAATTTCTTGCACATTGAATCTCATCTTGGCATCTACTTATTGGAGGATCCGAAAATTCACATTTTTAACACAATAATAAAATTCACATTTTTTCATCATCCACTATATGCCAAGTAATGTGTTACTGTGTAGTCTCATTAAATCCTCTCAAATCCCAAGAGATAAGAATTACATTTATTTTACAAGAAGAAAAGCAGTCACTCTGAGGGGTAAAATAATCTACATGGCAGTAGATTGCAGAGTTACCATTTGAAGAATGTTCGGTTCTACTCCAAAGCCCACCGCAAAACCACCACTAAACCACGGCATCTTTGGAGCAATTGGAATGACGATTCTGTTCAAATCATATTAATACTAATCACTGTGTTTGACTTTTTCATTTAGATACGACCGTGATTGAAAAATCATGGTATTTGTATGTAGTCACTTGTTCTGTCTGGCTTTGTTTTAGGGGATTGCAATCTGAAATTCCTGACTTTTACCCTGGGAGGGGCTTGTGCAGAGGATTTGAGTTACTCATCTGAACGGACTGCCTAAAGACGCCTCAGTTTGTGTTGTCTGTGCATTCACTCAGCATCCATAGCTAAACTAAGATGCTGGGAATGAGAGACTGTTCAAGGAGTAGAAGCCTTGCTTCTAGCTTCTATATTCCTCCTACCACCTGTGACTTTTAGCATTGTCAGGGAAGTCATGAGGTTAGAGCTGATTTTTTTTTTAAGAAAATGAGAAACATAAATGTTCCCTTTTCAAGGTTTCTGTTTGATAGTGTTTGCTAGACAAAGTAGAATTTTCACAGCACAAGTCCTTAGCTCAAGAGCTCCACTCAGTCAGCAGTTATTTCATGTGCCTTTTATCCAGCCTTTCTCATTTAAAAAAAGGAAGAAGAGAAATTTATCCACTCAAAGTGAGCTTTTTGCTAAACTTGTGTCTTTCTCTCGTTTGTCATGTTAATTACATCCCAAACAACCCTATTGCAGAGAATTCTGCAATCAAACCCTAAAGTCACATCAGATGTACAGTGGCTTTTAAAGTGGACTGATTTTTTATGTAATAATGAATTTAGTGTTATGTTTACCTCTAAATAAATGCAGATTCTGCTTCTTAGAATACCTGCTACTTCGTATACCGTGTGACCTACTATGGCAAGATGTTTAACCTCTCATTTCTTACTTTCCTCACATTTAAGGCAGAGATAATAATATCTCCTCTATAGGGTTATTATATGCAATGTGTTATATGATATGCATTTAATTCATGTAAATGTGTGTGAAATAAATAACCAGATCTTCCCCAGCTAATTTTTGGTGAGGCAATTTGACAGTTTTATGTAGATAGACCTATTCAGCAAACTATCCATAAGGAGAGAGAGTTTATCTGAAATCTCCTTGGCTGGACAATACTTGTGCGTTCAGATACCTTTAGGAAGTGATTTTCCCTATGAATGGCAGAATTTAAGGAATCTCAACTGAATGAACATAGGTAGGTGCTCAGTGAATGTTACAAAACTAAATCAACAAGGGAATGTGGCATAGAATGAGCTTGGTCCTCCAAGGTGAAAAAGCTAATGCCTGCATTAGTAAAGCGTTATTCCATTAACTCATTTTCAGTTAATACAAGAGTAATTATTCAAGTATTACTCAAATTCCCTTTAATATTAACATTGTGTATGGAGATTACATATTACAAAAACATTTGAGGATGAAACCAATGTATAAGTCATTAAAATTATTCTGTTGCAGGGGTGGGGTGGTGAGGACTATTTTATTACTGTGCAGAAAATTCTTTGGTCATCTAACATGAGATCATACTCACCTTCCAGCCTTGTCTACTTGTTTATAAATTCCAACAAACAAAACAGTGCCAAAGGACACACAGAGTTTTTCCAAATAAAGTGCTAAAATGGTGGTCAAAATGTTGGCAGTGTGTGTCATGTGATATGTTAATCATAGTTACAGACTGACTTGAAAGTTATTAGTTTAAGAGGAAAAAAGACAAAGAACTTTACCTGTCTTTTTTTTTTTTTTTTTTTTTTTTTTTTTTTTTTTGAGATGGAGTCTCGCCTGTCGCCCAGCTGGAGTGCAGTGGCTGGATCTCGGCTCACTGCAAGCTCCGCCTCCCGGGTTTAGGCCATTCTCCTGCCTCAGCCTCCCGAGTAGCTGGGACTACAGGCGCCAGCCACCTTGCCCGGCTAGCTTTTTGTATTTTTTAGTAGAGACAGGGTTTCACCGTGTTAGCCAGGATGGTCTCGAACTTCTGACCTCGTGATCCGCCCGTCTCGGCCTCCCGAAGTGCTGAGATTACAGACTTGAGCCACCGCGCCCAGCTAACCTGTCTTAAACAGAGAATTAAACTCATTTCGGAGGGAGAGGGTTGAAGTGTTTCCTAATTGGATGATGTTGGCTGGTTTCATCTCAATCCTCAAGGGATCTAGAAATACAGTAGGGTCCCACATTAGCTTTATATATAATATGGAAGCAACTTAAGGGGCCTTATAAAGCTTAATTCAGCACTCTTATGCAAGAAGAAATGTGGTCATAACCCAAGACCACCTAAGAATGAGAAATGATAAAAGGAATATTTGTGGGGTCCTTGGCCTGGCCAAGCTTTGGTGTGTATCTCCAGAAAATTTATAAGAGAGGCAAATTTGCTTTTTTTTTTTTTTTTTTAAGCCACATTATAATTCTGCCATTTAGCATAGTTATGTACGCACCTATTGTATTTCCTCTTACTGGATCATCAGCTCATTACAGGCCAACATTTGTTCATTAAACAAAACGTATTAAGTTCCCATTTTGTTCTGAGCGCTAGCAATATAAAGAAAAAGAAAAAAAAGATAACATTGCTGTCCTCAAGAAGCGTATCATCTAGTGGTGGATGTGCAAATTTAATTAAGAATTAAATTTATATCTCCTTGTGCAGCAGTTTCCAACGTGAGGTTGCACATTGAAGGTATGAAAATTTCATATTCCATAATATGATGACATTATATGATATTTGATAATAATAGAACATCTATTTATATTTAAAAATGAGAAATTATGTTTAATATTGAATATGTGGATTTACATATCTTACATATATATCATTGTAATTATATATTAAAAATACTTTAGTGATAGTAAGATAGCAGTTGGAAGACAAATATTATATATACCCACTGGATGTCAGTAAACAATTGTTGAATGAAAAGATTCATAATCTCAGGTTAGTAACTCTTCTTATTGTCACAGGTACACTAAAATCTACTTGTTGTCCTTTTAACCATCCGTGCTTCCTCTTCTGCCTATTGCCCCATGAGCAAGTTCCCTCAGTGACATGTCTAACTTATAGTTTGCCCTGCATTGACCAACCCAGAAGTTTTAATTCAATCTTGAGTTGAATAGAATTGAATTATATTCCTTGAATGCATTTCTAATAATGTTTTCATGAGGTAATACACAGCAAGCTTTACAGAAGGTTCATTTCAGTCCCCAAGTGTACACATTTTCTCTGAGCAGTTCAAGTTAGCCTCTATATTAATGAACACATATGACAAGCTCCGTGGGTCACCAAATACTAGACAACATAGTCATGATTAGGTTTCTAATTTTTCTGCCCTAGAGCTCTTGTTCTACTTACTGATGCCACTTCAAGGAAGAAAGTTAGTCTTTATTTTGAGGGGTTGTAGCAAGGTTTCTCAGACTCATCACGGTAGACATTTGGGACCCATAATTCTTTGTTATTGGAGGGCTGTCCTGTGCATTGTAGGGTGTTTAGTATTATCTCCATCCTCTACTCACTAGATGCTAGTAGCAGTTCATTCCCCTGCCCCATTTGTAACATGACAAACATCTGGGGATATTGCCCAATGTTCCCTGGGGAGTAAAACTGTCCTCATTTGAAAGCTACTGGGTTAGGGTAAAATAGTATGAGGCATTAAAAAATGTACAGTGTAATTTAGCAACTAGCAGATTAACTACGTAATTGGGTTCAAATGCAATGTGAATTTCTAAAATGTGAATAATCAAAAATGATGTATTTGAGAGGTTAGAGTCAACTCCAATCCCCTGCTAATCACATTAGTTTTGAGTTGTAAATAGTAACTTAAATCTTACTTCTCTCCAATGTTATTTAGCCATGGGGGACAGAGGTTTTGAGTGGTGAAATAGTAAATGGTAGGAAGAGTAAGAGGGAAGATCTACAGATAATATAACAAATTGGTGAAGAATGATTAGTAGCATGTTTTCTGAATAATCAAATGAATCAAGGCTATCAGGAAATTCTATCGCTCATGACATCCATTGGAAGGTATGCCCAGAAACAGCCAACAAAAGGTAGCATAGTACATAGGAAAAGATGATCCTTGGAATCTCATTATTAAAAAGTGGCTCAAGGTCAGTTTCCCAGCGCATTAGCAGAGTGCATGTTTTCTGAATGAGCTAGCTAATTTTACTCTAAAGGCTTTCTCTAAATTCTAATTGGAGAGTCTTTAAATCTTCAAACATGAAAATGTTGGAGAAGAGATTCAATTATATGTGAACTGAAAATAGGAATAGATATGCTTGACCAATATGTTTCTGTTTTCCCGTGAGAACTAATGGAAAAACATCCAGCCTACCCCAATGGGCTTGCTGTCCATTTGCTGGATTTATGTCAGATGGGGAATTACTCAGAATCCAAGATACCACAAAAGCAACTTGGGTCAAAACTGTCAATTAAATGGAGAAATTATGTACAAAATTAGGATTTCAGAGACCCAGATCTTTTGGCAGATAGCTAGGTCCTGACGCCCTTTGAAATCAGAATATAGTACAATGACCCTCTGGGGTAAACCTTCCCATTAAATTTGCAATTCTTCAATGTTTGAGACTGTCCAGGGAGCAAACGAATTAAGACTTTCTTTTGTAAAATATTTTTTTATTTCTACCTGGCCTAAATTCTGATTCCTGCTTCTCTGTGGACTGCAAATGGAAAGGTTCATGTCCTATGGCAAGTGCCATCTATAACATACGCTTCTGAAAATTTAAAATGGCTATAGT